CCCCCCCCCCAAGCACCAAGAAGACAGAGCATCACTTGCCCCAGACTGAGAGTTCCTATCTATACCTTGTGGCTAATAGCCACTGAGGGACCTCTGCTCCGTATGTTTATTCAATCCCCTCTTGAAGCCATCTGTGCTTGTTGCTGCCGCCACCTCCTGTGGCAGTGAATTCCATCTGTTAATCACTCTTTGAGTAAAGAAGTACTTCCTTTTATCTGTTCTAACCCGACCGCTCAGCAATTTCAGAGAGTTCAAGTCCGAGTGTACCAAATGTTCATAAGAATTCCAACTCAAACACCTCATGTCTGATGTTCTCAGACATGGATCTCAGTGGGACCTGGGATTCATCTTATTTTTGCTAATTCGTTATTTTATTTATTTAATTAATTAATTACATTTTTATCCCTCACTCCCTGCCATAGCAGGTTCGGGGCAGCTTACGGAACATACATATGAATGTATACATTAAAACTCCAAAATATGGGGCAAGCTAAGAACAGAGTTAAGCTAAAATCACAGTACATAAAACCATTACTACTCAGGACATAGATGTAATAAAAGATGGCCTCGCAGGGCCCTGATGTCACCTGGGAGCTCATTCCGCCAGTACGGGGCCGCCACAGAGAAGTCCCTGGCCCTCGTCGCGGCCAGCCTGGATTCTTTAGGGCCTGGAAGAACCAGGCAATTTTGGGATCCCGATCTTAGTGCTCTCTGGGGAACATATGTGGAAAGGTGGTCCCTTAGGTAAGTAGGCCCCTGGCCATAAAGGGCTTTAAAGTGTAGGGCACAATTTGTCAGTCTTTAAGGTTGCGTGAGACTCTTGTTAAAACGGGCTGCCAGCAGATGAATACGGCTCCCGCTCTAGAATTTCAATACACGCGGCCGGCATACTCACTCAGCGCGAGATCTTTAAATTCGGGGAGACCGGCAGAGGCGCAGAGTTGATAGAAGATGTGATAGTTCCGCTCGTCTTCTGCCTGAGAAGTAAAACAGCCTCGGCTTTAGTGATCAGGGCTGGGCGTTCAGGATCCATTAGGAGAGGCTCCCTCGCCCTCTTCCGAAGATCTGTCCAAGCCTCCCCCCCCACAAGATGCTAGCTAAGGACCGGTTGCATATTATTTATGTGGGCTACAGTCAGTTGTCAGCCATTTTGTGTAAACAGGAAGGAACAAAGGGGTACACAAGGACAGGAATGTCGCAAACGATTGTCCTTGAAAACCTTTACAGGGTAGTCCCATCGGACGTTTAAAGAACTGTGCTGACAGTGGGAATCTCCCAAGACAAAAGATGAATCCCCAGTCCAGCTGGGACTCTGACCCATTATGCTTCCTGACGTTCAAACCTGATAGTTACACCAATGGGCAGCTTCGACAGCACAAAATAATAACACTCTTTAAGGCAGGGATTCCCAACATGGTGCACATGGGGGACTGTCAACCCCTTTCCTGATGCCTACCAAGTAGGGCAGCCATCCTCCTGATGGAGGTGGGGTTTTTCCTGCTTTCGGGGGCCCCCCAATCTGCTGCCAGCCAGCTCGCTGGTGGGGGGAGCCCTGCCCCCAAAGAACCCCATCCCACCTGACGTCACCCGGAGGTGGTGTCATCGCACCGGGTACACTCTAGCATTTGGGTAAAAACTCTACGGTGACCATAGAGGTTTTTTTTACCCAAATGCTAGAGCGTCCCCTGAACGATATGCCCAGTGCGATGACATCACTTCTGGGTGATGTCACTGCGGCGCATACGCCAGAAGACCCCGGGAGCCAGGCTGGAGTCCCTCCGCCGGAACTCAGATAAGACCGGGCAACCCTACCACCAAGGGTTGTGAAAAAGTGGGTGGGGCCAGTAGCGCTTCTGAATGGCCACGGGAAATCTGATTGGCTGTGCAGACTTAAATAATGTCGTTTCAGAAGCAGCTGCCACCCCAGTGTTGGTTTTGTTCTCCTGCTCACTCCCCCTTTCCCAGCGTGTTCTTTAAAATTACCCCTCGTCTCACCCTGCACTCGGACTTCCTCCGTGTGCGTGGCTTCGCTTCCCCCAGCAGCCATTTTGTGACTACGCCCACCACCCTGTCTGAGAATTCCAGATGTGTTCAAGGTATCAGGTGCAACATTACTGCCCAAAGCGAAACACATTTGGGTAACAGAAGTCCGCTACATTCAGTGCATTAAGCTCCCCCTGCCCCCCGGGGAGAACAGTGGAACTATCAATAAAGTTACAGAATGCCCGTTACATGTTGTTATTACTGTTCTTGTATTTGTTATTATTGTATGTCCACCAAATATTTCAATAAAAATGTTAATTACAAAAAAAGGTTACAGAATCGACATATTTCAAGTATAATTATAACATAACTGACTGAGCTCAGACATCAGAGGAAACCAAGTTATAGATTCATGAGGCACTGCAGGTATGTGTGTGTGTGCGTGCGTGGACTCTAATCTGGGAGAATCGGGTTTGATTCCCCACTCCTCCACTTGCACCTGCTGATGTGACCTTGGGTCAGTCACAAGCTCTGGCACAGCTGTCCCTGAAAAAGAGCAGTTTGTGTCAGAGTTCTCTCAGCCCCACCCACCTCACAGGGTGTCTGTTGTGGGGAGGGGAAGGGAAAGGAGTTTGTAAGCCGCTCTTAGACTCCAAGTGAAGGGCGGGGTATAAATCCAATCTCTTCTCTTCTTCTTCTTCACAAGCAACTGAGAAATCTATTCCCCCCAAGCCTAAAGGTCTCCTTCCAGGGTATCGTAAACGCCTAAATATCTCCAAAAAATCAGTGGCTTCATCTGGCTGCCCCTCCTCCACCTTAAACTCTCAACTGCCCTCCACGTAATCCATTCTCATTAGGATGAGCTTTTGGGGGCATTTCATTTATAAAGTGAATTCCCCCCCCCCTCACTAAAAGAGCTCCTCCCTGTACAAACCCCCCAATCCTGTACACAACTTGGCTGTTCTTTGTTTATATTTTAGAAAATGTCCTGAATTTCCACTCAAAAGAATCCTCAAAATGGCTTACATTAAGCAAAAACCAACCATAATACTACTGGGCCAAAAAAAAAAAAAAAGGCCTTTTATTTATATGCGCCTCTGTCCCATGGTCTCAGAGCGAATTATACCTGTTTTCTGCAGCCTATGAGACAGGCATTCGACCACGAGGTTTCCAAAACAACACTGGGGGCTCACAAGGAATGGCTGGTGTGTTTGGGGAGGGGGGTGGAGTAAACGTGGAAACTCCTCCATGATTCAGATCTTTGTATAAACTCTAAAGGACCTGCATATGTTAATCCCATGCTCAGAATTAGCAAAAATAAGATGAATCCCAGGTCCCACTGAGATCCATGTCTGAGAACATCAGACATGAGGTGTTTGAGTTGGAATTCTTATGAACATTTGGTACACTCGGACTTGAACTCTCTGAAATTGCTGAGCGGTCGGGTTAGAACAGATAAAAGGAAGTACTTCTTTACTCAAAGAGTGATTAACAGATGGAATTCACTGCCACAGGAGGTGGCGGCAGCAACAAGCACAGATACCCCCACCCGGCTTCTCCTCACTGATGTTTATTGCTGCTTCAAGGATAAATCTCTCTGCCGAATGTATGTGTGACTTCGTGCCTCCAATGAAGCTGGGTAGGGCTCACACAAAAAAGGTGTAGGGCACAGTTTGTCAGTCTTTAAGGTCGCGTGAGACTCTTGTTAAAATGAGCTGCCAGCAGATGAATATGGCTCCCGCCCTAGAATTTCAATACACGCGGCCGGCATACTCACTCAGCGCGAGATCTTTAAATTCGGGGAGACCGGCAGAGGCGCAGAGTTGATAGAAGATGTGATAGTTCCGCTCGTCTTCTGCCTGAGAAGTAAAACAGCCTCGGCTTTAGTGATCAGGGCTGGGCGTTCAGGATCCATTAGGAGAGGCTCCCTCGCCCTCTTCCGAAGATCTGTCCAAGCCTCCCCCCCCACAAGATGCTAGCTAAGGACCGGTTGCATATTATTTATGTGGGCTACAGTCAGTTGTCAGCCATTTTGTGTAAACAGGAAGGAACAAAGGGGTACACAAGGACAGGAATGTCGCAAACGATTGTCCTTGAAAACCTTTACAGGGTAGTCCCATCGGACGTTTAAAGAACTGTGCTGACAGTGGGAATCTCCCAAGACAAAAGATGAATCCCCAGTCCAGCTGGGACTCTGACCCATTATGCTTCCTGACGTTCAAACCTGATAGTTACACCAATGGGCAGCTTCGACAGCACAAAATAATAACACTCTTTAAGGCAGGGGTCCCCAATACGGTGCGCCCATGGGTGCCATGGTGACTGTCAACACCTTTCCTGATGCCTACCAAGTAGGGCTGCCATCCCCCTGATGGGGGCGGGGTTTTCCTGCTTTCGGGGCCCCCCCAATCTGCTGCCAGCCAGCTCGCTGGTAGGGGTAGCCCTGCCCACGAAGAGCCCCATCCCGCCTGACGTCACCCAGAGGTGGTGTAATCGCACCGGGTACGCTCTAGCATTTGGGTAAAAACTCTATGGTGACCATAGAGTTTTTTACCCAAATGCTAGAGCGTCCCCTGAACAACATGCCCAGTGCAATGACATCACTTCTGGGTGATGTCACTGCGGAGCATACACCAGAAGACCCCGGGAGCCAGGCTGGAGCCCCCCCGCCGGAACTCAGATAAGACCGGACAACCCTACTACCAAGGGTTGTGAAAAAGTGGGTGGGGCCAATAGCGCTTCTGAATGACCACGGTAACAGAAGCCCGCTACATTCAGTGCATTAAGCTCCCCCCGGGGAGAACAGTGGAACTATCAATAAAATTACAGAATGCCCGTTACACGTTGTTATTACTGTTCTTGTATTTGTTATTATTGTATGTTCACCAAATATTTCAATAAAAATGTTAATTACAATTTTTTTTTACAGAATCAACATATTTCAAGTATAATTATAACATAACTGACCGTGAGCTCATACATCAGAGGAAACCAAGTTATAGACTCATGAGGCACTGCAGGTAAGTGTGTGTGTGTGCACGTGTGCGCACAAGCAACTGAGAAATCTATTCCCCCCAAGCCTAAAGATCTCCTTCCAGGGTATCATAAACACCTAAATATCTCCAAAAAATCAGTTCCTCCTCCTCCTCCTCTTCTTCTTCTTCTTCTTCTTCTTCTTCTTCTTCTTCTTCTTCTTCTTCTTCTTCTTCTTCTTCTTCTCATTAGGATGAGCTTTTGGGGGCATTTCATTTATAAAGTGAATTCCCCCCCCTCACTAAAAGAGCTCCTCCCTGTACAGAACCCCCAATCCTGTACATAACTTGGCTGTTCTTTGTTTATCTTTTAGAAAACTTCCTGAATTTCCACTCAAAAGAATCCTCAAAATGGCTTACATTAAGCAAAAACCAACCATAATACTACTGGGCCCCCCCAAAAAGGCCTTTTATTTATATGCCTCTGTCCCATGGTCTCAGAGCGAATTATACCTGTTATCTGCAGCCTATGAGACAGGCCTTCGACCATGAGGCTTCCAAAACAACACTAGGGGCTCACAAGGAATGGCTGGTGTGTATGGGGAGGGGGGTGGAGTAAATGTGGAAACTCCTCCGATTCAGATCTTTGTATGAACTGTCAAGGACCTGCATATGTTAATCCCATGCTCCACACTCCCCCCTTAACTGCTTCCAGCAACAAAAAAGGCTAAATGCGATCTTGGGGTGTATCAACAGAGGCATAACATCCAAATCGCAAGACGTGATAGTCCCACTGTACACTGCACTGGTCAGGCTGCACCTGGAGTCTTGTGTGCAGTTCTGGAGGCCTCAGTTCAAAAAGAATTTGGACAGAAGGGAGCGGGTGCAGAGGAGAGCGACGAGGATAATCGGGGGCCTGGAGACCAAGAAGCCCTGTGAGGAAAGGCTGAGGGACTTGGGAATCTTCAGTCTGGAGAAGGGGAGGTTGAGGGGGGACAGGATTGCTCTCTTGAGGATTTGGAAGGACTGTCACTTAGAGGAGGGCAGGGAGCTGTTCCAGTCGGCAGCAGAGGAGAGGACTCGAAAGAATGGGTTTAAATTCAGGGCGGGAAGGTTAGGAGAAACTTTTTTACAGTGAGAGTTGTGCAAAGTGGAATCAGCTGCCTAGGGCGGTGGTGAGCTCCCCCTCACTGACAGTCTTCAAGCAGCAGCTGGACAAACACTTGTCAGGGATGCTCTAGGCTGATCCTGCACTGAGCAGGGGGTTGGACTAGATGGCCTGTATGGCCCCTTCCAACTCTGTGATCTTATGATTCTATGAAGCTGCCTTACACCAAGTCAGAAATTTACGTCTACCACGTTCAGTACTGTCTACTCTATGACTGACTCTCTCCAGGGTCTCAGGCAGAGGTCTTTCCCACCACCTACTATCTGATCCTTTTAAGTGAAGATGCCAGGGACTGAACCTGGGATTTTCTCCTTGCAAAGCTCTACTGCTGAGTCAAAGCCCTCCAAACACCTCCCAAAGCATGCATGGTCCTCAGTGGCCTGTTATTTGGGGGGAAGGGGAGGGAGAGTTCCATTGACTTCATTTACTGTCTTATTTTTCTTCATTCCTACAGAGTCCCCTCAATATGAAGAAGCCTCCGTCTTGCCAGAGGGTGGGTCTTCTTTTACCGCTTTTATGACTGGCACAAGCTACATACCTCAGCTCCAATAGAATAATAACGAATGATCCCATCTAATTATTTAAGTATTACAAATGACTCAACCTGTTCGGGCTGACATTTTTGGCAAGACCTGACGATGAACCTAATTCCAAGTCCTGGCCAGGTGCCTCAGGATCCTTTCACAGGAGATGCTAAAAATGTTATCTTCTTCTCCAATATGGAGTTTGGTTTGGGACAAAGTGTGAGGTGGGCGTTCTTTAGTTTGTCGCACGGTGACCATTTTTGATTTGAATTTTTAAGTGCTTTGAAGCAGGCCTGTGGCCAGGATTTTGTCATTCAGGGGGCCTTTAAATAAGTCCGGGGGCACTGATGTCACAAAATAAAAACTAAAATAAAATTTTTAAAACCTCACTTTTGCAGCATTCGCACTAGGCTTGCCAAGTCCCCCCGGGGGGCGGGTAAACGCCCCCCCCAGAGGCCCGTCCCCCGCCGCCGCCGGATTGGGCCCCGGGGGGGAACTCCACCCCGACATGCACGTCACCAGGAAGTGACGCGACCATGCCGGGCACGCTGGGGGCGGGGCGTGGTTATGTCACTTCCTGGTGACATGGATGTGGTGTGCACGCTCCAGGATCAACGCGGAAGTCCCCCGCTTCAGGACGAGATACGAGTTGGCAACCCTAATTTGCACTCTGCCTGGGGAAGGGGCAGCAGTGGGGAGTCCCCCGGGCGGCCCAGAGAGCTGGGGGCCGAGGGGCTGGATGGAAATCAGGGGGCCTTGGCAGGAAGTTGGGGGGGCAGGCCCCTAAATGCCCCGCTGCAGCTACAGGCCTGCTTTGAAGCCTGACAGAGGGCAGATCTTAAACTCCTGCTTCTGATACTCTGCAGCCCTCTAAAGGTTGCACCATCTTAGAATACTTGTGGGATTAGGGATTTCTTGGCAGAAATTGCTATTGCGTTAAAACCTCCCCGTCTGAGGAACACATCAGCACAGGGTTGCCAGTTCCGAGTTGGAAAATACTTGGAGGTTTGGGGGGTGGGGCCTGAGGAGGGTGGGCTCCAGCCACCACCTGGAGGCTGGCAAGGCTACACCAGCAGCATATCAGGAGGAAGGTTTCTAAGAGTCGGTTTTTTTACCCCGCCCTTCACTACCCAAATGAGTCTCGGAGCGGCTAACAATCGCCTTCCCTTCCTCTCCCCACAACAGGCACCCTGTGAGGTAGTTGGGGCTCAGAGAGCTCTGAGAGAACTCCTCTTGAGAGAACAGCTCTGAGAGAACTGTGACTGACCCAAGGTCACCCAGCTGGTGTCATGTGGAGGAGTGGGGAACCAACCCCAGTTCTCCCAGATTAGAGTCTGCCGCTCTTCACCACTACACCAAGCAGGCTCTCAAGGATCTGGTAATCATCTCACTTTTGAGAGCCAGTTTGGTGTAGTGGTTAAGTGTGCGGACTCTAATCTGGGAGAACCGGGTTTGATTCCCCACTCCTCCACTTGCACCTGCTGATGTGACCTTGGGTCAGTCACAAGCTCTGGCACAGCTGTTCCTGAAAGAGCAGTTTCTGTCAGAGCTCTCTCAGCCCCACCCACCTCACAGGGTGTCTGTTGTGGGGAGGGGAAGGGAAAGGCGTTTGTAAGCCGCTCTGAGACTCCGAGTGAAGGGCGGGGTATAAATCCAATCTCTTCTTCTTCTTCTTTTAAACCCAAATTAATACATTTTGTAATCAATGGAGATGATGCCATTTTCTCCCCTCAGAAAATTATGGCCCCAATGGATCTCTTGCCAGACACTCTAGGAAATAATGTTTGTGACCATGCAACTAAGGAAACCATCCTCCTTAGAGCCAGCAGGCAGATAACCTGGTACTTGACCAGAGAGGAAGACCTCTCCTGCCAATGCTGAGTCTTGAAAGGGCAAGGCAACACGAGTGGAAAAGGAGGGTAGGCCCTAGCTGACAGAAACAGGACACTTGGAGTCAACATCTCGCCCAATGAGAAGCCAACAAAGCTGACTATGGAGGCACTGGGGAGGGGCTTAAGACAGAGGGTGGAGTTTAGCTCACTATATATTATGAGGTCCCCTTCTCCACAGAAGAAATAGCGGAGATGAGAGGGTTGCAACCCATACTGAAGACTCTGAAGGACTGGAAGGGAACTGTGGAACCTCAGTGTAATGTACTGCTGAGGGGCCATGACACCCCCCCTCCCCCGATCGCCTCATATTTCCTGAGCAATACTAAAAGCTGAGATATGTATGGTGGACAGGGAGTAACAGAACTCCACCCACGTCTTTCCTCTCATGACCAAGGAACAGAGGTTATCTGACCTATTCAAGTACGTGAAGGGCTGTCATGTAGAGGATGGCGGCTCACAAGATTCCGCAGCTTAGAGGGAACATTGGCCATGACACTCACCCACCCCCCAATCTCCTCATATTTCCTGAGCAATACTAAAAGCTGAGATATGTATGGTGGACAGGGAGTAACAGAACTCCACCCACGTCTTTCCTCTCATGACCAGGGAACAGAGGTTATCTGACCTATTCAAGTACGTGAAGGGCTGTCATGTAGAGGATGGCGGCGGAGTTGTTTTCCGTTGCCCCAGAAGGTCGGACCAGAACCAACGGGTCGAAATTAAATCAAAAAAGTTTTTGGCTAAACATGAGGGAGAACGTCCTGACGGTTCCAGTTTGGCTGGGGATCGTGTGTGTGTGTGTGGGGGTAATTTTGCCAGCTTCTAGTCATGAAACAGGGGTCACTGAGGGTGTGGGGGGAGTTATTTGTACATTCCCTCCATTGTGCAGGGGGTTGGACTAGATGACCCTGGAGGTCCCTTCCAACCAATGCTCCCTCTAAGCTGCGGAGTCTTGTGAGCAAAAATTCTACTTTGTGAGCTACTGGCATTAAAGTTGTGAGCAAGCAATTTGGCTACTGCATAAATTAGTTTGCTCTGGAGCCATCCTTCCTGAGCTAAGACAAAAAGGTCTGAGCCGGAGGCTAAAAAACTGTGAGCTAGCTCACACTTAACTCAGCTTAGAGGGAACATTGCTTCCGACTCTATGATTCTATTGTTTGCTAACAGTTTTCTCCCAAAGGACTTGGGTGGATCCAGACTGCGGACCCAAGAGAATCCACAGAGCTAGAGCCTATCTAATGGAGTACAGTCCCCGGATACACCCTGCAACAATGCTATTTTCTAATTTTTCTGAGAATCAAACTTTCTGGGAAATGTGATGCTGACAAAGGAAACACAAAATAAAACTTTTAAGTGTGTTCAAAAAGCAGTTTTTATCTTGACCAGCAGACAGAAACATTGTCTTTCCGGCTATGATCTTGACCAGCATCTCATATGAGATGTACCAATTATTTAAATCTCCACAGTTAAAAAATAGTCGCAACTTGATGTTTGATGGGGGTGGAAGGTAACGGCTATTATGACAAAAACCTTCAAGCCTGCTGTCTACAAAGCCAAGCATCAAAGCACCCAAGAATCCCAAGCGGTTTTGGCCTTGAAGCTTTAAACTTGAACTGAGAAACTGCTAATGCAAAACTTTTGATGTGTAAGAAGAAAGAGGGCAACAGCCAATACTGCAGATACACTGAAAGCTATCAAGATGGCAAGAAATTAATACCATCTCTTTTAGTAACACATGAAAATATGCATCAACCTTCTAAACGATAAGAGACAGCAGAATTCCAGATAACTCTCGTCCAACATAAAGGTAGGTCGGGGGTCCCCGACATGGAGTCCACCAATAATTTTCGGGCGCCTGCCAAGTATTTTTAGGAATTAGGAGGGGCCAAGGAGGCCTTTTGCTCAGCGATGCTTCTGATTGGCTGTGCAGATTTTTTTTTAAATGCTGCTCTGGCTTTGGCAGCAGCTGCCAGCACAAGGATCTACACCATAGTCCTGAAGTTAAGCTTTGGCAATCATTTTGTGGCTGACTCTGCCTCCCATGGTAGCCGTTTTGGGGCTGTGTCCACCGTGCCGTTTCAGAGTTCCAAATGTGCCAAATGGGGTAGGTGGTTATAGCACGTTTTTGACTTCTTAAACATGTGAGGATCACATGCTGAAACCTGGGGGGAAAGGAGACCAGTTTCTTGACACAGAGTTAGAAGGGATCCTAGAGGTCACCTACTCCAACCCCCTTGCTCAGTGCAGGAATTAGTCAACTACAACACCCCACTCTGCTTAAATAAATGCAAAACTTAAAAAAAATGATTAAAAATGATTGAAAAAAAGCATTTACAGGAGAAAGTCTTGTGGGGCTGTGCCTCTAAGAAAGGGGGCGGCACCCCCAAAAGACCCACCATAGCTATGGGCCCAGGTACATCGTAAGACACATTTGGCGGGACTCAGCATAGAGCTTTGGTTTTCAGCAGCCGTCTTGCATCAAGCGGAGGACACAGTTTGGTCCTTAATAAAACGGGAGAGGGGAAACAAATGAACTTACCTGGAATACGACTCGTGATTTCTCCAGCAGGTACGTCCTCATGTTGGCACCGATGATATGATACCTTTTATCAAAGCCGATTTGAATGTATTTCCCAAAGCGGCTGCTGTTGTCGTTCCTAGTTGTTTTAGCATTGCCGATCGACTGTGCGAAAAGGAATACAATATTAGGAACAAAGGCCCTTTTTGCAAGAATGTGCATTGCCTCTGAAGTGCGCTAAACTCTCAAATGTCCTATAAATAAGTGAAAAGCAGTTACATTAAGGGTAGAGGAAGAGAAAGCCAAGTCAGGATTTAGAGAGAGGAATTTTCCCAGAAAAAGGCCAGCAGCTTTACAAATATCGTGTACAGTAAACTGTGCAATGGTCAGCATTTCTACGAACACACTAGTCCATGGGTCTCAAGCCCCCCACCTATGAAAGAAGAATACGTGGCAATCTACACTACTCCACAGGGTTGTTTTCGGAGGCAAACAAAACGACAGCTGCGAGCGACTTTATAAATTAAAAGCGTTTATACATGTACTTCATCCAGCATCACTGAGCATTTTCCCAGCCAATTTTTTTTTTTATTGATTTGCTGCTCAGAGCTCTTTGCAGTTTCTTTTTAATAGCTCGGATAGAGTTAGCAAGATGCCGGAAAGCTGCAGGCTCCCACTGCGTTGACGTTTTGCTGTCTCCGTTTCCCTGTCATCGTCATTCTGCCCCCAACAGCAAACTTCAAGGCCAAGCACTTCATCAAGGCAGCCGGGGAAAGGGCCCTGCTTGCACACAAGGATGGGGTTTATGTACACCCAGGGGACGCGGCAAGTGTGAAAAGGAAATAATTGCACATTAAAAAAGACAAAAGTTGACAATAAAGAAACTCCAACCGAGCATGCTTACTGCCTCAGAAAGTTGAGAAAAGATGAGTCACTGAAAGTCATCCCCTCTAAAAGAGAGAACAGGGAAGGGAAGTTTGGCAAGGAATAAGTCCTTAAAACAGGGGTCCCCACGCTTTATGAGCTAGTGGGCACCTTTGGAATTCTAACACACGGGGCACAACCACAAAATGGCTGCCATGGGGCACGGAAGCCACCATAAAATGGCCACCAAAGAGGAATGACAGAGCTTGAAGGGACCCCCCAGGGTCATCTAGTCCAACCCCCTGCACAATGCAGGAAATTCACGAATACCTCCCCCCACACCCCCAGTGACCCCCATTCCATGGACAGAAGATGACAAAAAACCTCCAGGATCTCCAGCCAAATTGGCCTGAAGAAAAAGTGCTTCCTGACCCCAAAGGGAGCGGTGGCGCAGGCGGCTAAACGCCTGCTAACATTAACATCTGAACAGCCTGTATGGCTGTTCGAGATTCCACTGCGGCCAGGGTGAGCGCCTGGCCCGAGTCCCAGCTCCCGCCTACCCAGCGGCCCGAAAGCGATTAACATCATGCGAGTAGGCAAATGGGTACCCACCCTTAGAAGGGTGGGGGGCACCTGCCTCTGTAACAAAAAAGAGGTTTGTGGTGGCCGCAGCTGCGTTCGGCGAGAAACATCAATGGCGGCGGCGGCGGCGAAGCCGAGATGGCACTCGGCAAGAAGAACATCGATCGAGCGATCCCTGGCGTCGGAAGATTGCGGTGGAGACTGGCGTCGGCGTCTGATGACGTGGACTGTAAAGCGCGGCGGAGCCAGCTAGGACAGAGCCGAGGCTGAGCAGACACGAGGACAGGCGCCGGGTAGACAGTCCCACCAAAAGGAAAGAAGCAGCCGACTAGTGGAGAAAAATCGCCGGAGAAAAGAGAGCCGCCGAAAAAGAGGGAGAGCTGCCAAGCAGCCAGAAGAACGCAGCGGACCTATCACAGGGTGCTGGTAGGGAATCCCCACCCCTTCGGTATGTGGCCTTAGATAGGGCTAACAAGTTCGTAAGAACGCCCCTGTAAACCGCTCTGAGACCCGTTAGGGGTTATGGGCGGTATATAAG